TTGTTAAAAGTTTCCCTTTGTTTTCTAGGGACCCATGTCTAACGTTTGCTAGCTACCAATATCTAATGTTACTCACTTTAGTTTCCTAATCTTCAAACATAGAAGAACAACCAAGTTGATCACCCAACATTATCCAACTTTAGGAGTTCCCCATCAACAACCAACTAACATTTTGCTAAAAATTAACATCAAACATCCATCAATTATTAACACATGATGCATTTATTTTGAAATCGAACGAGAGAAACTAGCCATGTGTGAATGTTAGAAAAAGGATTAGGATGATTGTGGGATGAGGAATGGAAGTGGAAATGAAGACAACGGTTGAGAAATGTCAAAAAAATATTGTTGGACATCAAATTAGACATCAGAACAGCAGTTTGACGGTTGTCTGGCTAGGGAGCAGCAAGGCAAACGGCAGTGTGCGGATGATGAGGAGGTTCCACCACATGTTCTCTTCAAATAAAAGGAAATAGGATGTAAAGTCTCCAAATAACATTAACCATAGAAAGATCCTCAAACCACAAAATAACATATAAATAGTTCTTTCTCAAAATAGCTCTAAATAAAATAGAAATTAGGCCCACAATGGCCTGGTGGCAATGAATTAGCAGAAAAGTCTAGTTACAGCCATATAAAACAGAATCTCTCATATCTCGCTCGTCCATCTTGAGGATCGCAGAATCATGTAGAACCGTGGAATCAAATCCCACATCATAATAATATCCCATCTTATCTATAGAATAACTAAGTTGACTACCCATCATCGCTCGACTTGACTTCCAATTTTATCTATTGATCACCACCAACCATTTACCAATGATCAACATCTGCTAGTTACAAATATTTGAAGTTCATTTTCTCGATCACTTGGCCTCCTATCTAATTAGAAGAATGAATAAATCAATTATACACCATTGCTCGATTACATACGTGCCTCATTAATCATTATTCATGGCTACCGTGATAATAACTAGCATATAATAATTATAGACATATATGGATTATCATTTGAAATGCTTGATCTTCCCTCCAATAAAGAAAACGATCATGTTGATCGACGCTTAATAATGACTGCATTTAACATATTCATCTCTTGATATTGAAAATTTCTCTTCATTATCACATAGGCTCCTCACCTATTTAAAAAAATAATCAAGCTTACTATCAACTATTACCCAACTTTCTATGTTTCGTGTCAATTGTCACTCAATGTGTGTTAACAATAGATAGAACTGCAAAAAATCTAAAAGCTGGATGAGAGGCACGATTAAAACTCATTCATGATAACTTAATTACCTAATTAAATATGCTTGAATACTTTTATAAATACTATATCGATAAATGAGCAAACTTGAATAGCTTGATGTTTGATGTGTTTATGATAATTAATAATATAAAACTTATGAGCAAATTTGTTGAGTAGCGTAATACTACTCAATACTGTGTTCAATTTTGACTTGCTATAAATTTATTATGTGATTAAGTGGGAGTCTTATTATTCTCTATATTAAATTTCCTTAGTTCACGAACACAAGCTACTTGTTTATGCTCATTAAAAAAAAATTATTTATTGAATAGTTCATTCAATTAAAGTAGCATTTTTAACTTCAATAGACTGCTCACTAATAGAATAATAAAGCTTGTTCAAATTACTAATAAACTGCTTAATAGTGTTACTAATAGACTTAATAAGCTTCACGTAATTTAGCTAGCAAGACAAGCTCAAATGATCATAAATTTTAAATGAGCCATGTATAAACACTCCTACAAATGTTTGAATCATGTTTGAATTCTAGCTCAAATAGACTATTGGCAAGCAAGCACAAGCATGAGCAAGGTCCCGCATGGCTCAGCCCGATTTATATATAGAACAAGGTTTGACATTTATCATTTACCAACAACCAATGTAAATCTTCTCAATCTCCTAATATCCCCACAAATAAGGAGAATATCACATCGAGTACCTATTATTGCTTGACTTTAACCGTTAATCGCTATCGAATAATTTCCAACAACCAACCCCTAATATTCACCAACCCCAATGTTTAACACTCATATTTTCAATCACCCAATCTATCTTCCTATTATAAGGATGACCCAATTGGTTGTTTATCATCACCCGAATTTTGATGTTATTTCTCGATCATTACTCAATGCTTACTAATGACCAACAAGATGATTGGTAAGCGCCAACCACTAACAAATAATGCTCATTCTTCTCATTTTCCCAATACCCCTCTTTTTGGAAAATGAGTCAACAAATCAACACCCTATGTAGCTCAAAGTCTAAAATATATTATCACTTATCATCGGACACTCATTTATCAATGATAACTTAAGATGTCAAAAACCGTACCACCTCAAGAAGGCTTTCCTAAAGTTCAAGTATATTACTTTGTATTAACATCCTCTCCTTTTAAGAGAAAGAATGTCATTTTTAATTCTTGACTCACATTAGTGAAATTATTTCAAAAAAAATCCTTATTTCACTTGCATATTGTTCTCTAATTATGTGTGTGCAAATAAAATCTTCACACAATCATAAGACATTAAATTATCTTTACCATCATTAATTTTCTAATGTGTGAAAGCTTGGCATTGAGAAATACTCCCACCTTTATTTTCACTAATTACAAAATTCAATGATAGTCCATATACAAAAACCTCAACACCTCTGGTCCAAATATTACCAATCAATCATACTTCCTCTACTCCCCTTGCAATCAAGACTGATACATCTCATTACTAACATCATAACAGTGAGCGTGGCATCAAAAATCAAGTCAAAACTCGGGATATATTTAATTATAGTCTTAAAAGAGCATTGTCACCAATAGCCCAAGTATAATTTTAGTCAGGACAACTTTTTCCATTGGTATATTAAAAAGTTTTTACCCAAATACTATTAAAAATACCTAGGTTGATGCCCTTGATATTGGTAATGATACACCATAAAGTTGGCTAGATAATTTATCCACTGTAAAAAAAAAAAAATCTTGACCAAACTATCAGTTATAGAATACTTCATGTAAGAGAAATTCCAGAATGAAGTTTGAGAAAATCTCATCTCTTCATATATTCCCCAATCAGACTCCTTTCCATAACCATACATTGAAATGATAAAAATGATCTAATAATACGTCAGCTTCTACCCTTGAACTGAAAAATATATACCAATTGTTGTCTATTGATTAAATTTCAATCAAGGAGAGATCAAGTCAACCTCTTTCGCCAACAGCGAAAGCTATTGTGTCACATCCTAACTAATAACGCAGGATGAGAAAAAAAATATACGAATTCTCCCATCAAAAGTTGAGGTTATTAAGTAGGGTTCCAATGAATAACCTAAAATATCAAATTTCATGGCGGCTCTTCTTCTGTCCAATTCCAACAAGAATTAAAATCATTGAATTAACCTTTGAAAAAAAAAAAACTTAAGCTAGGCCAGAAATCTAATTGATGTCTCATCTTTTGTCTAAAGAACAAATCCTAGAGCTTTGCAATTTCCTTATCCAACAAGTTTGATGTTAGGAGTTGCTGATCTACAACACTAAATTGTATTCGTAAAAATACAAAAAAAAATGAAAAAGTTTGATGTCATCAGTAGCTGACCTCTCTACTAATTGAGTCGTCGCTTAAATACCGACGGAGATAAGGTATCCACCTATTCAGAAGCATTGTGACCACTAAGCTTCTGCAGAGATGCACCAACCTTCAAATCTCTTTCTCACTAGAATAATCTTGAGGTTTCCAAATACCATAACCAGCCTCACCATCGGAACATTTCATTTTGTAGGCTTCTTAGGGAATTTAAAATTTACCTTGATGATCTTAAGAATTGCATCATCAGCACCCATCCCTGGTTTATCACATTAATAGTTTTATGTTCTACTCCCTCTCGACATCAACTCTTTCTACTTACATCTTATGAGTTGTATGACAATCTCATAAATTTCCCATTAAGAAAATTAGACATTATTAGTTCTTTTTCTTCCCTAAGTTGATTAATTTTGCACTAATGATGTTCTTACAGGGACCAATCTCTATACTTGTGTTTGTCATATGCCATGAAATTTTGAATTCATGTAAACTTAACATATCAAGAATTTCTGATTTTGAAATAGCTACTGTCATACAAAGCTTTTCTGCTTTCCTAGTTTTCTTAATAAAAAGCACAAGTAAAAAGGCTGAAGACTAAAGGGGTAGAATCTTACTAAAACTTGTAAGGCAGATACAATATTTCATACTCTTCTACGTTCGTTCTAACCTTCTTGTATCCAGATAAGATAATTGTTGGAAACGGTAAGCAAAAAAAAAGCGAAAAACATTTGAATTTCTCCATGTAATTTCTTTCAGTAATCGAAGTTCTATGCTTTAAAGAGTCCTAGTGGATGAAACCAGAAAGTGTCTTTTAATACTCTTCATATATTAAATCAGAAAAACCACACTATAGACGTATATATGAAAGGGATTCTTCGAAATTCAAGTGAAGCATTTTCTTTCTGAATTTTGTTTGTTCTCTTGCACCTTATGAGCAATCGCATCTTCTCCGCATAATAACTCCTAATAGTTATCCCTTATAATTAAAACATGACTGCTAGGAAATCAATGCAGAAGTGCAGAAACTTCATCTCCAAATCATAAAAATCTCATCAAGTCTAACCATCTTATTATTCACTTCCATTTTCAATTTGAACGCTTATTAGGCCAAATCTGAATGTGAACAATCACATCTTCCTTCCTAAGCAATATAACCGACTCAGCATTTTTGCATTCTCAATACACAGGTTCCAAACGTATTATTTATCAATATGAACCCAAGAAGCCGGCTCTAAAAATCATCATTAAGTTCTGCTAATTCATAGAAAAGGGGGCGGAGTTGAAAGTCTAATTTCATGAATAGAGAGGGAGAAATCTCGGATTCGAAACTACTAATATCAATATAAACTATAAAACTTATAAAACAGGCATGAAAAATATGCTCAAAAGATTGGGGCTTACCAAAATCTTAGATGTTGATGGTGATCACAAGCACTCATTTCCTTCTCAGTCAGATTAATGTCAACTGATTTACATCTCCAACTTACAAGAAAAAAAATATTACCGAGTCTTCGGCTCTTCCTCCAGTTTTTCTTCATTATCCTGCACTGTCGTGATTTCAACTGATCTTCTCTTGACCTATGATCTCCTCGCAATGCTTACTGTTTATATACCAAAGCAATCATGAGAATCATATAAAATTAAAGGAAGCAACTTTTCTGCAGTGCGATTTTTCGCCCTGGAAGGAATACGTTCTACTTTGTGTTACCAGATTATTTTACCTTCTCCGGATACCAGAAAAAACAAAACAGATATTAAACAAAGGAGGAATAAAAAGCAGAAAAAATATTTTTTATCAACTAAACCATATATTTGACAGATAAAATAACCACAATTATCTCATAACAGTTGACCTCATGCAGAAAATAGAACGGGATGGCAAATCTTCTCAAACTCATTAATTCCTACAAGGAGAACAAATAGAACTAGTGATGGTCAATCTAACCATATACTTCAGTGTCCTCCATTCATGATAAAAAAAAAAGATAGATATGGCATATTGAAAAGACACAAATCCATACAAATATGAAAAATCACAACCTTCAACTGAAAATAAGCATGAGGTGATGAACTGTACAGGCTTTGCAACAGACAAATACCAAACCATATATTTAAGGTTACTAAATCACAACTGTTGGTCAAGGCAAGGATCCCTGTAAGACGTCTCTCTGGCTCCAAGATATTCCACAACGGTCCCAGAAACTCCAGTGACATAATTGCTTAGCCAAGATGTGCTACGAGTCAGCCAACCAGCTTTTTCCTGAGGGTTTTCCACTATCTGGCTCCTCCTCTCTTCCTCTAATAGTATATCAAGCCATCTCTTAGACATATATAACTTGACAGCTTCCAACCCTTGGTTCACGATCTCCATTGGTGGAATAACCAATGGGTTCTGGTCCAAGTTAAGTTTGGACAGCTTATCAAGGCGGCCAAAGGAATCAGGCAGAGCATGAATTTGATTGTTGCTGATGTCAAGTTCCATGAGATTAATCAGATCACCAAATGTGGGAGGGAGCTCCTTCAGGTCACTGAAGTTGCTGCTCAAGTTGAGAATTTCAAGATTGATCAAGTTTCCTATCGCATAGGGTAGTCCATGGAGTTCATTGAAGTGTGCATCCAAAATGCGCAAGGACCTCATCTCACAAATAGACGTTGGGAGAGATCGGATCTTGTTAAGATAAATCCATAGCTTCTGCAGATTTACTAGTTCGTAGCCAATGTTTGTTGGCAAATATGTGAGTTCATTGTAGCTTGCATTCAGTTCAACAAGAGATCTACACCAAGATAAATATCATTCAGATGTGATTGCCGCCCATACAAAATTAAAAAATGAAAAAATAGACATTAGGACAAAGAAATATTATAATTAAGAGGCAAAAATGCCTGCAATGTGAGATGCTGTCAGGAAGAGCCCTCAGCTTGTTACTGGACACATCTAGGATCTTCAGATTAAGTAGCAGCCCAATGGCATCAGGCAATGAAACTAAAAGATTAGAGGAAAGATAAAGCTCCTGTAATTGTTCCAACCCTGCTATTGCATCTGGTATGACCTGTGTACAAAATCAAAATCACCATCAGAACGTAATTATTAAAAAAGCAATGTAAAGTGCACACCATCCACATGTAAAATGGACGGCTGTTTGGTAAGAGGGGAAAAGAATATTCCAAAAACATAATGCAGTATATTTTGGTTCTCATAAAAGGAGTATAATTTTGGTATAATCAAACATGCTATGCCATTTTCTGAAGTTACATTATGAAGAATATAGCGACACTGAGATGGGCCATCCATCACCAAACTTTCGGGGTAAGTTTGGATGTTAAGAAATTCAGTGTAAAAAAAATTTAATTTTTTTTTAAAAGCACAAACCAATGGGTAGAGACTGATAATCAATTGATCAATTATCGGAATCTCACTTCATTTCTTCATTTCAATCCAAGCAAAGCCTTACACAGACAAGAAATGGCAAAGAACCGAAAGTTCCCACATTCACATTACATTCTCAAACAACAGGATGTACTATTACAAGCAACCAACACCCATTGTGATTTGCTTCTTTCTTAAGTCAGAGATTCTTCCTCAACTAAACTAAAAAACTTTAATACGTACAAAATATCAATCAGGAGTAAATAAAATCAGGCAGAAAAAAGAGTTTCCTGCAAAGAAGAAAATATTGTATTTGCACGGATTTTTTTCCTTTTAGTTGATATTTTAATTAGGAATATATATTATTAAGCTACCAAAATTAGATTGAGCACTTTATTATGTACCTAAAATAGATTGTACATACTATTATTTATTTGAATGAAAGCAAAGAAAAAGACATTCAGCCTATTTGCTCAAAATATTGACATGGTATCAGAGCCACATCGAATATTTCGAGTCTGAATCTTTGGAGTTTTCAAGTTTGCAATCATTTGTCTTCTGCGACTGCAAATCTTCGAGTCTCGTCGGACTGCTCGTCTGCTTTATCTAATCCCTCATCTGCTTCACCAGGAGAGCTCGTCTGGTTCGCCCAAACCATCATCTACCCTAACTGGTTCGTCTGCTCCGTTCAACTGCCCTAACTGCTTTGTTTGCTCCGCTCGACTGCTTCGCCTGCTCCGCTGGTCTGCTCCACTCGACTGCTTCGGCAGACTCACCTAAACTGCTACGATCTCCTCGTCCGCTTCAACTGCCTCGACCACATCTGTTCTCGTCCACTTCGCTCACTTTGTCTGCTTCATCTACTTCGTATGCTTATGCTTAGGTAGCATTGGTTGTATCTTCGGCTTCGATATAGTCCGCGTATTTCAAAGCTGATATACTTCCTAAGTCGCAGCACTCAAGGATCGTAGGCTTTAGCTTTGGCTTCGGACTCATCTCCTAATTTAAGGTAGTGCACGATTTTTTGAATCTCTTAGGTTGATTTAGAGCAACGATTTGGATTTTTTTGGATATCTTGGCTTTCTTTGATTTTTGGTTGATTTTGATCAACGACCTTCGTAATCAGTTTGTGAACGATAATTTTATTTAGAATGTTTTCTGAAATCTTAGCTATCAGATTTACGAGAAGGAGTTATGCCGCATGAGAATTTCAACTCAGAATATTCTTAAAATGAAAGGAGCTTTGGGGCCATATTGAAGGGTTTGCTCCAGCTCCTACTGAGGCAAAAGATCTTGGTCAATGGAAAGCAAAGGATGCTCGGATTGTTTCTTGAAACTTGGGATCTATTGAGGTTCATATGGTGAACAATATCGATCCTTCGGCACGACTAAAAAAATGTGGGAATAATTGAAACGCGTTTACAATCAAGATAATACTGCAAAACGCTTACAATTGAAACTTGATATAAGTAATTATAGTCAGGGTAATCTTTCAATTAAACAATATTATTCTGGCTTTCTAAATTTATGAAGAGAATGTACTGACATTATCTATGCTAAGGTGTCAAAGGAGAACTTAGCTAGTCTTCAGGCTATTCATGAAGAAAGTCGTCGTGATCAGTTTTTAATGAAGCCCAGACCTGAATTCGAAACTGCTAGGGGTAGGTTGCTGAATAGAGATCCAGTTCCTTATTTGAATATCTGTTTTGGTGTATTACTATGCGAAGAACAAAGATTGGCGACACAAGTTGTTATTAGTACAACAGGTAAATCATCAAACAAAATTCATATGGCATATGCCCAAAGGGAAGGGACCAATGCAGTGCTATAGTTGCAAGAAATTTGGTCATATTGCACGAAATTGTAAAATTAAGTGTTGTACTTATTGCAAGCAAAAGGGTTGGCGACACAAGTTATTAGTACAATAGGTGGATCATCAGACAAAATTACTATTGCATATGCCCAAAGGGAAGGGACCAATGCAGTGATATAGTTGCAAGAAATTTGGTCATATTGCACGAAATTATAAAATTAAGTGTTGTACTTATTGCAAGCAAAAGGGTTGGGATACCCCACACGACCACGGAACTGCAAACCACAAACACTCATGCCACGGTATCCGACACTCACAATCCTGGCTCGACATCCACAGTTGCTGGCAATACTCAAAAAGTTGTCACACCATATATGTTCAAAAAATGATTCACTCTATCTTTACTGCTCTCGACCTTCAAGGGAAATATAAACTATTATTTTTGTTCCTTCTCATTAGTTTGTTGATTCAGTCGCCACAAATTATATGATTGACACAGCTGCTTTATTGCATAACCAACGGTCGTACACTAGTAATCGACATATTCAATTTGCTAATGGAAATAACATTTCAATTACAACAGTTGGTGATTTTAACTCTCAGATATGTCTTGATTTCTCCAAAATAATCTACTTACTCTCTGTTGGTCAAATTGTGGATAATAACTGTGACATACATTTTTCTCGTGATTGTTGTATTGTGTAGGATCAGGTGTCTTGGAAGGTGATAGCGAAGGAGCCTAAAGTGGGCAGACTGTTTCCATTACAATTTATTGTTCCTCGAAATATGTCATTAGCTTCTTCAGTTGTTGAGAATAATGTGGGCATCTGACATAAAAGATTAGGTCATTCAAATGATATGATGTTAAAGCATTTACTTAAAAGATGTGTTTTTTACTATACAGATAAGAGTTTAGCAGTTGACTATTCTGTTTGTAAACTTGGAAAAAGTAAGGCATTACCTTTTCCTATTTTAGGCAATCGTGCCAATAAATGTTGAAATTATTCATAGCGATGTTTTGAGAATTACATCAGTTATTTCACATGCACAATATAGATATTTTGTGACATTTATTGATAATTACATTCGATTTACTTGGATCTATTTTTTGCGTTCCAAAACGGAAGTATTTACTGCATTTCAAACTATTTTAGCATATATTGAAACTCAATTCTGCTTGCATTAAAACCTTACGGTTTAGTAATGGCGGTAAATAAATATCACATGAGTTTCAAGTATTTCTCTATAATAAATGTATTGTTTCATAACGTTCATGTCCCTATACACCGCAACAAAATGGAGTTACTGAACGGAAAAATCGACATCTATTGGATACAGTGCGCACATTACTGATAGAATCTTCTGTTCCAACTAAATTTTGGACTGAAGTTTTATCTACTGCAGTTTATCTCATTTATCATTTACCATCTCAACAATTGAAATACGATTCTCCCTACTATCGATTTGTTGGAGAACATCCTAATTATCATATGCTACATACTTTTAGATGTGTTTGTTTTGTTCATCTACCTGCTCATGAACGTTATAAATTAGCAGCTCAGTTAGTATGATGTGCCTTTATAGGGTACAGTCCTAATCAAAATGGTTTTGTGTTATGATTCGATTAATAGTCGATAACATATTTTTCGGAATGTGATTTTCTTTGAACATGAATATTACTTTCAGCATCATGTGTCGACACTGGATATAGTTATACTTCCACGATTTGATAATTCTTCTTCTGGTTCAAGCCAGACATTGTCTACACACGACGCCTGCCCCCTTCACCTAAGGGTCAATTTGGGGCAGCTGCTTTGGTGCGGTGGCGTTTTGAAAACGCGTTTGGCCTGTTTGGGTAAACTGCGTTTTGGCAGCTTATGCGTTTTCAAAACGCCGAAAACAGCATTTTTACATCACATCCATCTAAGTGCAGTGGGGACTTTCTAGCAGCGGTATGACTTTTCCAAAAAAAATAATAATTTGTAATATTCATCGTAACTAACTTATCAGCAGATTATTTTTAATCAGCATATCAACAAATTATTCAATAAGTTGCAGCTGCCCCAAACAGACCCTAAACCTCCTCGACCCTGATCCAGAAATTGCTCCAATAAGTCTTCGACGATCAACTCGGCGTATCCGTCCTCCAGATATATATGAATATTCTACAATTTTAACTATTATTATTGTTCTTACCTCTTACTTTCAAGCTGCTAAACAGACTTGCTAGATCAAAGCCATGCAAGAGAAACTTCAGGCACTTCAAGACAATCACACTAGGGATACTATTTCATGTCCTACAGGTGTTAAACTCATTGGTTGTAAATGAGTTTATTTCTTTTAAACTCCAATCTGATGGCTCTCTTATCTCCAATCTGATGGCTCTCTTGACAGATATAAGGCAAGATTGGTAGGTCTTGGCAATCGATAAGAATACATGATTAATTATGAAGAAACATTTGCACCTGTGGCTAAGATAACAACTGTCCATCTAGTGTTATTTATTGTTGCATCTAAAGGCTGGTTGTTAAAGTAGATGGATGTTAAGAATGCATTCTTACGCGGGGATCTCAAAGAAGATGTCTATATAACTCCTCTTCCAGACTTGTTTTCTACATCTTCACATGATGTTTGTAAGCTCAAGCGGTTCATATACGGTTTGAAACAAACTCCACGGGACTGGTTTGAAAAGTTTTGCAATGTTCTTCTTAGCTTCTCTTTCATTCAAAGTCAGTATGATTCATCATTATTTCTTTGCAAGACTGACAAGGGAATTGTTTTTGTTATTCGTCTATGTTGATGATATTGTCATCACAGGATTTGACAATCAATTGATGTCTCAGCTACAGAAGCGTTGTCAGGGTACTTTT